GACAGAGAGCATACCCCCCTCCCTTCTAGCACTGAAGATGTTACCTAGATGGGTAATGAAACGTTTGCAAGAAAAGAACCAAGCTCAGAGAACCCCAAGGACTCCACAGGGAGAACATCTTCAGCAGGTTCATTTGGGGACCTGTTCCGGGGGGGAACCCATATTGGGAAGAGATGATGGAGCATTCCACAGGCATCACTGGGGTTTCTGTGGAAGATATATATCCCACCGCAAGCAAAGCTCCTCTGTGTAGGGACCTAGGCATGTCCATCCTCTTACCATCAGTGGATCTGCATGCTAGACTTGCTCTGTTAAACTTACTTTCAGTCTTATATTTATTCAAATCAATTATACATTTAAAAAGTGTTGTAAAATAATTAAAATGCAACCACAGTATGAGGAAGATCCCCATGGAGAGCAGGTAGGAATACAATTTCTTCTAATCCCCAAGCAAACACCTTCAATAAACTGCATGGAACTCAACAAATGGATCACTTGAGACCTGTGAAGTGGTTCTGAGGCCTTTTGAAATGTGTACTTTGTTATAAGGTAGCAAAACATTGCCAGTTATTGATTTCTATCTCCATTTGGAGCCCCCCAATATATTGGTACCTGTGCAATGGACAAATGCTTCTGTGTTAGCCAACTCTCTGATGTTTTTGTTTTTTCAAACTGACTACTTCCGCAAACCTTGCTTTGTGATCTACTCAGGAATCTAGGAACTCCTGGAAAAGACTTATATGAAGAAAAGAATCCAAGTGAATGTTTCATCTTTTATCTACCAAAAATCAAATTTACCTATACAAAGGGTACCACAATATGTACATATTTACTTTACCTTCAAACATTAGTACAAATTATGAAACTATATGATGTTTTGAGTTCTATTTAATTTCTCTTATAGGTCTTTAAAAAAACTCTTAAAATGGAAAGCAGCATATGTGGTAGTCAAAGAATACCTGCCCATAATGGAAGGAAAGCATGTGTGAAAATAAATGAAATATTCAGCAAATGGTGCAATACTGAGCCAGGAGTAAGACATGGATGGGTGACATCCTCTTAGTTCTATAATATATTTATAGACAAATGTATAAGGAATGTTTGTGGTGGTGTTAAAGATATTTTGGCTGGGGGATGTGAACATGCACATACTTTTGTATGCAGAGAATGCCATTTTATTGGTTAAGAACCATATGATTTGCAGTGGATGTTAGATAAACAGCAAGACACAATGAAAAATATGGATCTGAAAATATATCAAAGCCCAATGGAGTTAACAACTGCAAGTTATACATAAAAGGTGAAAAATTAGAACAAGTAAATGAATTTGTATACCTTAATAGAATGTTTACTGAAAATGAGAAATGGATGTTGAAATACAAATAAAATGGTTGTAGTGGATAGTACATGGTTTGCAGTAAGGAATTAATGTTTGTCAAAGAAGATTTTGCCCACTTGTTTTCAGGAAGTGAGAATCAGTATGTCAAGGAAAGATAAAAGTAAGTAGAATACAGCAGGAATAACCTGAGAAATCCACGTGGAAAGAAAAGACAAGGTAAGATTAACAATGAAAGGATGCTGAATGAATGCTGACTGAATACAAAAGCGAATGACAGGCATGAAAGAAGTACGTTGACACAGTTTGGTCATATAGAGAGAATGAATAAGGATATGAAGAGTGAGTGGATTAGGAAGGGGAAGACTGTCAGGTTGCACTGAGTTGATGAGATCTTCAAAAAGAGACAGGAGAGAACTCTAAAGAATGTAGAGAAAGGAAAGGTAGTTTACAAAGGTAAAAAAGTATGAAGTAGTAAATGAAGTTAGCGTAAAAATTCAGTTAGATTTTATTTTCTCCCATCTTCTTGTTATTTTTCTGTGTGTTGCATAATATTGATTACCTCAAAAGGGAATATATCATAGTTATGTATGTATATTGTATTGGAACATGGCCACCACATTGTAGGCTTCAATCTGCATCTAAATTGTAACAGTACATAGGAAAGACTTTGGGAGACTGGGCAAAGAGACACTGCCAAGGGAACAGTCAGATAAGAGACTATGCAGCTGGACAGTGGGCAGGGCAAGAGGCTCAGAAGAGACCCTCCCTAGTTTCTCGGGCTGTAAAAGAGACAGGGTCGGGGGAGAATTGTACTTTCAGACATGCAAGATTCTGTCAATGTACTTTTACAATAAAGTAGAATTAGCTCATCTGGTTGTGACTCCTATCTGGTTTACCCCACAAGGCTGGCAAAATAGCAACCTACTTGATTTTTCTTTCACAAAAACGAAGACAAAAGAAGATCAAACTGTGGGACTGCAAGATAACTATACATAGCAATGCAGATAAAGAAAATACAGGGTATTTATTTAGAAATGCTTACTTTTGTTCTGAGCATGATGTGCTATTGTTACCCACATAACAAAATTCAATAAATTTAGCACTAGATGGAGCTGTTTCCTCATGAACAGAAAAATATAAATCTTAACAAGAATGCTTAACATGAGCATTTGAAGATTCCAAAACTTCACATACCGTAATGTAAAGGTAGGACGGTATGGTGATCCTTATGTTGCAGACTGAGATCTGAGACTGACAGATAATGGCATTTCTAAGGCCATCTAATATGTTCACAGCAGAGTCAGATTCAAACCAGGGACACGGTGAAGGGTCAGTTACCTAGACATCTATTTAAATGTAACATCACTGGGTCTTAATCCAAGATAAGTTTGTATCCTTAGCCATACTTCTCCTGATTTATAGCATTTAAAAAGTGAGAATTAGTCTTCTAAAAAACTAACATCTGAGAAGACCTAAGAAAACTTTCATAACTTTCACAATACATAGAAAAGTATGTATAAGAAACATAACTTCATGTGCTAGATTAAAACATTTGTGTTTATCAACTAGATTTAAAAAAAACTCTGCTTTTACTGTTGTAAACTTCTACCATTAAAATATATATCTGATGATGTTGCACTGGAAAATATTGATATAGTCACATCCAAACTTACTTGCTTCAGATCTGGCATCAACTGTTCCATCTGAGCTCTTGGGCAACGAAGTCTTATCAGCCACTGCAAGTCTGTACTGTCCTGCCTTGGCACTTTTGAATAGTCCTAATATTAGAATGTTAAAATATGTTGTTGTATTTGTTTTTAAATGGCCTACTGAATGAAGGTGATTAGTGTTCTCAGAAAATAAACTGCAGAAGATTTAAGAAATGCATTGGCTCTCTATACTTTCACACAAAACTTATCAAACTTTATATCAGCTTTCTAGTAACTCACTGTTAAAATGAAGCTATAAAACAAAAAAATGGAGTGGGCCACCAGAATGTTGATGAGCAACAGAACAGAACTTTTCCAGTGTTATGTCATAACTAGTATTGTGATATCAGATTCAATTCCAACTTGTTCAATATTGCCAGCTTGTTTGTTTTTGGTTTTCTTTATTCCCCAAATCACTGTAAGATAATGTGGTCTACTCAGAAAACAAAACAGTAAAAATATGTTGAAAGCTAATACAATAGCTATAACATCAAGCTAAGAAATCAGAAAAAGATAACTACAATACATAAATGGCATTTATTCAACAAGAAGAGGCATTTTTCTCTAAAATAATTATTTTTGAAGTGCATTTGAGGGTGGCCATCTTTTTTCACAGAGACAGATATATTTAAAGAGGATGACATTATTAAAAGAGAGGATATTATTGAAAGAGAGAAACTATTTTTGTCTCATTGCAACTGAGGGTTCTAAAAAATGATTGGCTATATGTTAGATGCAGTTACATGTGAGACAGATTATAAGAACCTCATCAGTTAACTACAGGTAGGCCTTCGCTTATGACAGCAATTGGGACCAGAACTGCTGTCGCTAAGCAATGCAGTCATAAAGCGTGACATCACATGATCACATCGCTTAGTGATGGCAATTCTGGCAGTCCCAGTTGCTGTCATTAAGCAAGGACCATGTGGCCACAACGTCTGACTTCCTGCCGGCTTCCCCACTGACTTTGCTTGTGGGAAGCCGGCAGTAGAAATCACATAACCACAGCTCGCTGCAACATCATAATTGTGAGCTTGGCGCCAAGCGCCTGGATCACAATCACATGACCACTGGAATGCCACAACAGCCGGAACTACGAGGACCCATAGTAAATACCATTTGTTCACTGTCGTCATAACTTTCAATGGTTGCTGAATGAATGGTAGTAGCCCAAGGACTACCTGTATTGTAATGTGTTAAAAATCCATTGAGATAGCCTGAAACCTTTTGATTTATGTGAGTTCAGCAATTTCTCAATCAATTGTGCTGGCAAAGTTTCTTTTTCCCAAGATGGTTACTTTGAGATCTGAAATAGAATGTTTAATCCATATACCTGACAAGGTACAATAGGCATCCATTCTGTTTTCTCTGTGAAGTCATCATCTGTATCTGGAATGCTTGAGATTCCAGTCCTTGTGGACCGTGATGATACGCTCTGATTAAATTGGAGAAAAGCATGTAAGGATTTAATTCTACAAATGCTTACTTGGAAATATGTCTCATTAGCATCAGTCTGACCAAAAGAATACAACACAGGTTTAGAAATATTTAGCTCTAGTGATTTTAAATTCTAATGTATTCTCCCTGTTTTCTTAATTAAAGGATCCTTGTAAAAGGAGTAACTACACTTTAAGAATTTTTCTAGTAAGATAACTTAATTTTTTACACTTGCTTTTTTTACACCCTTCTTTATCATAACTATATAATTATTAGCAGTTGGGGTTTTGATTAAAGAGAATAAAATATTATTGTAATAGATTTTTATAGCAGAATTTTATATGCTGGCAGAACTACAGTTGTACTAACAAATGTATTCCAAACATAGTTGATAAAAAGATATAATATTGGCAACTTCCTAATTTCTCTTAATTACATATTGTTATTTTAGAAATTAACAGATGGACAATAGAATGTGTATTGCATGTTTTCATGGTTGCAAGGGAATTCATACTACAAGGTTAGAAAAATACTCATTCTCTGCCAGTAATGCAATGGTCTGAAGATCTCAGCTTGCTTTCTATATTTGTACAATCATTTTTATTTGGAGGATTATTTAAAAATGCAGACTGCATATCTACTTTACATCCTTGATTTATTTTTTTTCATATTAAATGTTAAATAACAACTTTGTACAAATATGTTATTTATAAATAATTTATTTTCACAAGAGAACATGAATATAAACTTTCCTTTTTACAAATTAAATCTGTATGCACTTGGATATTTGGATATGTTTGCATGTCTATCTCCAAAAGAACACCAACAAGAGCCAAAAAAAACACCAACAAGAGCCAACAAAATTTTATTTGACTCCTATTTTTGAAAACAAGAGAAAAATGCAAGAATAAATGAAGTACAGCTGTATTAGTTCAAAATGTTTTATTAGGTATATTATAGCATTGCTTCATTATTATTTATTATTTTTTTATATCTGCCCACTCCAAAAGACTCATAACACTGACAATTTAACGTGAATGGAGTGGTAGAATGGATGAAGTCTGTGGGGACAAAGAGCACATTGGAACATTTGGTCAGGATATACATCCCCAAAGAAGTCTGGACTCCAACTTTTCTACTCTTTGAATCTGAGATGCATAAAGGTTAGTTTGGGGCTGCAAAACAAGCAAGCAAATAAACCCTGCCATTGTTTTCCTGTTCATGCTTTCTCACTCTTATTTAACTAATTACAGATTCATAAGAAGATCTGCTGTTTTAGCTCAATGGTGTTAGGATGATGCTCCTGAAAAAATAAGGACTCCCTCATACTCTAAAAGGGAAATGACACATCCCTTTCTCTCCCCAGTCCATACTCTTCCTTCATCCGAACACAGGCAAAAGAAAAACAACAAACCTGAGATGTTCCAATATTGCCAAGATATCAAAAACCACATTGCCCCTGAAGGATCCGCAAGGGCAGCTGAAGCCCAGGCGCTGAGAACCAGCATAAAGCAAAAGCTCCTGCAAATGGAGAAACAGACCACTCCCAACTCCTCGGGGCTGGGGCATTCAAAGAAAAGACTAGTTGACTGTGACTTCAAAGAGACAGTCGTTCAACCAGAAACAGATCTGCTCAGTTCTCACATTTTGCAGATATCTTGGGATTCCAGTGTTTGGAACTGCTGCACCGTGGTTATGTGAAAGTACCCTAACTTTGCTCTGGAGTGATGGAGTTTATCGAAGGTCTTTTGAAACTCCAAGTCGATCACCCCTACTGACATGCTTATTAATGGTCTCAAGAACTTGAAAAGATTAGTGAGACAACTAGTTACTTTTTGCATAAACAATGTTGATTCTTCTTCAGCAAATTGTGTCCTTTTATAATGCTGGATAATTTTCTATTTACTCTCACTTTTCGTCAATTTACTCTGATACATGCATGTTATATCATGACAATCCCTCCTCCAAATGCCATTTTAAAAATTGCAGTTATGTTGGCCATTCTACAAGTCTTTGTACAGAGCGCAATCTTACAAATATACTTTTTTTTTAGAAGAAAAACAGCAAGTTTACATTTGAATTTTTAAGAACTTTTTAAAGATTGCTACTGGTATCGCATTGTTTTTAATTTGCCAATAAAAGAACTTCATTTATTTTCATCAGTATTTCTCTTAGTACTTCAGACTTCTTTTTCTGACAGTATCAGTTCAGGGACATTGTTTGGAAGATTAAACGGTTTGTAAAGACAAATAATGTGGTACCTGTGGTTTTAATAGTCCTCAGATTCTAGCATTTGGTCATCAGGCCATGTTATCTAATATAAATATAACAGATTGTAATCATCAGTTTGTACCCCATTTAAACAGTACCCAGTACTCAGTATTAACTCATGTGGGTCCTGTCAAACAATATAATACATGATTTGATCGCAGACTGCAAACAATCAAGGAAAATCTAGCACCCAAATTCTATAATCGATGAAGCATATACAGACAGTTCCCTACTTACGAAGGGGTTACATTCCAAGAGGCTGTTCATAAGTCCGTTTTGTTCGTAAGTCCAACCAAGTAAAAAGTAAAAAGTAAAAAAAAGAGGAAGCAGGAGGCAGGGCAGCGGTGTGGGCAGAGGACCCGTCTTCTGCTGCCAATGCGTTGCTGGGTGAGGCAGGAGAGGGGGTGATAGTGCAGGAGAGGGGACAGAGGCGTGCCACAAACTAACCCTTTCCTGCCTTCTCCCACCTTCCAGGAGGTTGGAGGTTTGCACTGGAGTTGGAGTTCCCAGAAAGGGTTAGTTTACATGGTGTGCTCTTTTGCCGGGTGAGGCAGGAGAGGTGGCAGTGGCTCCTTGGGAAAGGACGAGCTGGTGGGGTGCGGCATGCTCTGTCACTGAGTGAGGCAGGAGACGGCTCCCTGGACAAAGGGACAAGCCAGTGGGGCGCAGCCCGCTCCATCCCTGGGTGAGGCAGGATACCTCCACCCCCATCCCCTGCCCTCTGCCACCGCCCCCTCTCCTGCCTCACCCGATGACAGAGCACACCGCATAAACTAACCCCTTCTGGGAACTCCAACTCCAATGCAAACCTCCAAAGCAAACAGAAGGTGGGAGAAGGCGGGAAAGGGTTAGTTTGTGGCATGCTGCAAACTAACTCTTTCCTGCCTTCTCCCAACTTCCAGTTCTGACTTCTGGGTCCATCTTGTTCATATCGGTGAAAGTTTGCAACACGAAAGTTCACAAGTAGGGGACTGTCTGTACTAACTTCTTTTTGGTATTATTTGGCTTTCTCAAAGCATGCATCAGCAATAATGTCATGTGTTCCTCAGCCTTTTCCAAAGCCAAATTTAATATCTGGCATCTCTTTTTCCCTGTATGGCTCTAATTTCCATAGGATGATCCTAAGCATTATTTTGCTAGCATGTGAAATTAAGGATATTGTACAATACTTTGCACACTCTGTTAAGTCTCCTTTTTTTGGTATTGGAATGTAGATTGACCTCTGCCAATCAGTTGGCCACTGTGTTGTTCTCCAGATTATCTGGCATAGCTTGGTTAGACTGATTCTTCTTCTGTTGCTTGCCATATTTCCGTCAGTATTGCATCAGTTCCTGTAACCTTCTCACTTGGTAATGATCGGAGTGCTGATCTAACTTCATGTTCTAGTACGAGAAGTTCTTATAAATAGGGAGTATTTTCTAAGGTATCTTGGATGTTGACATCTCTATGGTGTTTCAGTATACTCCTTCCATCTTCCTTTGAATTGGTTACTGTCTGTCCACTGGCATCCTTTAGCATACCAATTCAAAGTTGAAACCTTCTTCTGAGTTCAGAGATCTTTTGAAAGACTTTCCTTGTTTTTCCATGTCTGCTGCCATCCTCAATGTCTTTGCTGTAATACTGCTTCTTGTCTCTTCTAACAGCTGTCTGAAATTCTTTGTAAAATTTCTGAGATTTTTGGCTTTGGCTTCTCTCTTCTTCTTGGCAATTTCCACAGTTTGTTTTGACATCCAGTTTGCTTTCTTCTCTTTCTTCATTTTTGGCAGTCTTTTTTCACATTTCTCCTTAATGACCTCTTTAAATTCATTCCGTAATTCCTCTGGTTCTCTATCAATGAGGTTCAGGATTTCAAAGTGATTCCTGATGTTCTCCTGGAAAATGGTAGGTATATGTTCAAGATTATATTGTAGAAACTGACTGGCTTTCTTCTTCTTCTTCTTCTTCTCTAGCTTAACTTGAAGCTTGCACATGAACAGTTCATGATCTGTTCCATAGTCAGCCCCTGGCCATGTCTTTGATCCTATAATTGAGCTCCTCCACTTCTCTTTAAAAATAATATAGTCAATTTGATTTCTATATACAGGTACTCCATCTGTTGATGTCTATATATAGAGGCATTGTTTTGTTTGTTTGAAGACAGTGTTAGCTATGAAGAAATCATTGGAGCGGCAGAAATTGGTAAGTCAGTCTCCTGCTTCATTTCGGTTTCCTAAGCCATGCAATCCAACTACATTTTCCTCTTTCATGTTTCCAACTTTGGCATTCCAGTCTCCAATCACAAGCAGCACCTTTTGCTTGCATGTTCTGTCAATTTCAAATTGAACTTGATCATAGAAGTCATCAACTTCCTCTTCTTCTGCATCAGTGGTTGGAGCATAAAATTGAACAATCATCATATTAAAGAGTTGTCCACTACGTCTAAGCAATATTATGCTTAGTAATATTATTATCTTGCTATACCCTTCCTAACTATAAAAGCAACACTGTCTTTCATGTCCTGAGTAATAAACAGTGTGATCTTCTGACAGAAAGTGTCCAATCCCAGTCCATCTCAATTCGCTGATGCCTAAAATGTCAATTCGTAGAAGTTTCATTTCATCCTTCACTGTGTTGAGGTTTCCTGTGTTCATGCTTCTTACGTTCCATGTTCCTATTGTAATTCTGTATTTGCAGCTTCAGATTTTCTTTTCCGGTATGGCAACATCAGCAACTAAACATCCCAAAGGCTTTAATCTAGCCACATTTTATGAACACCATTAATACTCCGAAAGATCCTCAGCTCTTCCTCAGTAGCGTGTTGAGTACCAACCAATCTAAGGGGCCCATTATCTGGCACTATATCCTCAATCATTTTATATTTTCTGTCCATGTGGTTTTCTTGGTAAGAATACAGGAGTGGTTTACCATTGCCTTCTCCTGTGCAGTATGAACTGATGCCTTTGCCATTGTTGCTGAAGTGATCATCTGCCTCTGGCATCTTCCTATATCGCTGCTGCCCAATATAGGTGCCTGCTTGCTTTAGCTGGGCAGCTGGGATGACCTTCACACCTTGGGTGACCCTGCTGGGAATATATATACTCCGGGCATACACTCCCAACGTTCTTCGCTCATCCCTCTCAGGAACACTTCCCCCCTCCCCACCACGATGAGGCAGCATAGCAGGACTTGGGGGACCTCAAATATTACAAGACTTAATTAAAAGTCAGTTTGATCATAAATAATTGCTTAAAGAAGAGAAAATTTGCTGAATTACAATGGAGCGCATTTTATTATGCTATAAAGGAGAAGAAGGATATCTGTTTCTAGGAAATGGTTGCACATGGAATAGATAACTACAGACCCTTTTGACTGAAGCAAAGATTCAACCTTTGAAAAGTGATGTTGATCTGAAAAGTGACATAAAACGAATGCTAATTTAATATATGGAAGATATGATTCAAATAATAGTATAATCCAGACAAAGCTGTCAAGGGGTTTTAAAATTGAAGATTTCAGTGCATGATCTATGCCCCCATATAAAACCAAATGGGCCTAACATGCCCAATTTTACCTGCATTATGCCTGTATCTTATTTATCGTATAAGTCAGGGGTAACTGTGAACTCTACCAGGATGAGTATGAAAACAAAGTCCCTTAAGCATCTTAAATTCATTTCTATACTGCCTCTGAACATGAGGTCAAATTTCTGTTGACTTACCTAGTGCCTGCCTGGTTGCTGGGATTCTTCTTCTGATCTAGTTTTTAATGTTCCTACGTGTGTATAATACTCAGATAATTTAATGTGAATTAGAAATGTCTTTATTTAAGAAATCCTGAGTATGCACTCATGTTTTGGTCCAGTAATTTAAATTGGGAAAGTGCTTTTCACTGTTCTGATTTTTGTCAAGCAAAATGAGGATGGGTCTCTAAAAGTTTTTAGATGCTATGTAATAATTTTTGTATTTGCATAAATATGTATCACTGCATATTACATTCATCTTCCATCCTGAATTGGGAAAGTGCTTTTCACTGTTCTGATTTTTGTCAAGCAAAATGAGGATGGGTCTCTAAAAGTTTTTAGATGCTATGTAATAATTTTTGTATTTGCATAAATATGTATCACTGCATATTACATTCATCTTCCATCCTGAACTGGTGTCACAAGAAAAATACAGCAGGAAATAATTCTGCAACTTCTCTGCAAGTTGAGAATTCATGCCATATAACTAATTTACTTAAGGTGGGAAGTGAAAAACAGAAATAGAATCAGAACTTCCACAAAATTCTTTTCTGGATCAACTGAACAGCTGAGTTTCACATTAGAGCTATTGTGCTACAGAGCATTCAAAAGGGTCACTATTCTGTTAACAAGCTTTAACCATGTTTAATTCAATATACTGTAATGATAACCTTTTTTGCACGAGCTCGTTTACTGTATCGATGCCTTGCTCCTGGACAACAAACTTTTATGAGCCAGTCTTCTCCTGAACTTTCACTACTTTCAGATGACAATGAATCAGACTGAAAAACAAAACATTGAAAAAACAAAACATTAAAAAAAAACAGTGCATAGTAGAACAGGCTTTTTCCAAACCAACCTACAGCAACTACTTCTATGCTGCAATTACTTCTACCCACCTCTCTCTTCCTCAAACTTCTTCAAAGTAAATTTCAAAAATACTTTAATATAAATGAAGGTTCAGCAACTTCCTAAATTATGGAGAGTGAAGCATGCAAGGCATATATACAAAAACTAAACACAAAAGACTTTATTAGAAGAAAACAAAAAGGCACTTAATATTATATTTTCTCAATTCCTGCACATGTAAAGATCTAAGCAGAAATTAAATAAACTGATCTTTACTAAGGCTGGAAAGGAGCCAAGTAATTTTTTGCATCTCAGCTTCAACTGTTTGAAGCCAATCTGAAATCACTTTAATTTCTGCCAAACTTGAAATGCTGAGAACATGCAATGATGACCATAAGCCATTCAGTACTCCCTCCAGATGACAAAAGGAGAGTGCAAAAAAGAGTATTCAGTCAATGTTCCACTCCTCCAGCCACTGTAATACAAACCCCCTCCCCGCCCTCACCCTAAACTCAAGTACTACTACTAGTAAAGTCTTCCTTGAGTTGAAGTTAATGTCTGCTGTCTACATTGATTATATCCATTGTTATGTACTTGGCAACAATATGAATGTGGTTTGAACAGCTTCTTTTCAGATATAACCTTGACTTCCCTGTCTAGTCTCCAACCTGATAACCTGATCCTTCAGATCTTCCAATGATGCAGCTATTGCCACTATAACTAAATCCATCCACCTTGCTGTTGATTGTACTTTTTTACCTCTTTCTTTCCTCCTTTCTCAGTATTATAGACTTCTCCAACAAACTAGATCTTGACATGTGACAAAATTATGATAAGTTGAGACGTTTATGCCTCAACTGAGAACTCTGGCCTGATTTGTTTGATGATCCATTTGTTTGTTTACTTGGCTATCCATAGTATTCTCAGGAGTCTTCTCCAACAAGTTCAAAATGATCAATACTCTTTTCTTTTTTACTTATTGCTGGTTCTTTTACTGTTGATAGTAGATTCTAAAAGGAAGAAGCTATCCACCACTTAATATCTTCATTGTCAATTCTAAGGCTAATTGCCGTACCTGTTTTCATTTGTCTGGTCTTCTTTATATTTAATCTAAATTCCTTTTTTTCACTGTGTTCCTTAACTTTCATTACTAGAGCTTTGTGGGAAGAATCACACATTTTCATTGATCATTTTAGGGGTTCATGGTACCATCAAGTTTGAGAACCTCTGCACTAGGCTAAAATGTGGCTGGCTATCAGCTGTCCTTAATCGTGCATACAGAATGGTTGGTAAAACAGTAGATTTTGCTTACCTCTTAATGCAAATTTATTGGTGAAGCACAGGCCATTTTTAAAAATAATTTTGTTGAATTTATAAAAGAATATGAATATTAAACTTACAAATTTCATTTAAACTATTAAAGGATGTGTGTGTGTATGTGTGTGTATGTGTGTATATATGTATGTATACACACACACACACATTCAAGTGTATACATATACTTGAAGAAACTAAATACAATCTAGACAGAAAAACAGAAAAAACAGAAAAACTAAACAACATTAAAATAATAAAAAAGAAAAATAATATATAATTAAATTATAGAGATCCTGAATAAGAAGGGTATTAGAGTATTTACTTAAAACTCAGCTTATATGATTGTACGCTATACTTGAATATGCTTGTATGCATACATAGGTGGTATTTACATGCTGATCCCTACATCTTATTAAGATACTATATCTGTATTCACATAAGTTAAGTCAACATAAAACAAAACATCAGTTTAATATAGTATCATTCTCAGACTTATGTTGTGTTGACAACACAATGAACAACAACTTGCCAATCAATATCCTGAGTATATCATGCCTGCTCAGTCTGTGTGGCTAGTTTATGTTTCAATGTCTCATAAGAATCCAGAAAATCTAAGTGCCATAAACCAGTCAAGTTAGCTACAGGTAAGCATGTCATATGAAGGAAGCTGTAATGTGTTTTGTCTGGGTTTGGACTAGTCGTAGTTTGTAACTTCTTTTTGGCATATGCAACCAATGAAGAAGCTTAGGGACAATGAAGTGTCTTAGTGGGTGGCTTTGGGGGGGGGGGGGTTATTACTGTTTTTGGAGTACCTGTGACCTTAAGGCAAATACAGAGCTATTTGAAAGTCATCTCACATTCTACCTCTGTGAAAAAAAAAAGCACCTCTCTCCACTAATTTTCCTAGCAAAAGTTAGCAGCATTACACATAATATGAAATTATGGTTTAGTTAATTATCTTTTACTGAATAAATCATTACTGGCCAAAATAATCCATAAACTGCAAAAACAAAATTCATACACAATAAACTGCTTGTTTAGTTTTGGATAGCATGCTGTGTAGAGTCCAACTTGAATACAAATTTCTCAGGAATACACTGTTGATTTCACTAAAAATGCAATGGCTCCGAGAGTTCTTGAATTCATTGAGGTTCGTGGTTTTAGGTTTGTCCAATTCTATATGGAATCACACTCTGGGATGGTCAGATGTTTAATCTCAAATCCCACTGGCAGTCTTCATATAATGGATTAACTACTTAATTAAGCAGGCATCTCCGCAGGCTGGCACCATATCCTAAACTAAATAAAAAACAACTGGATAGTTTGTGGCTGGCAACAGTCTTGTGGGAACTAGACCCAGGGGAGATTAGTTTGGGGTTCAGTGTGTTATTACGATAAAACACTAACTTCTCCCTCAGGTCAACGTGGACTCTCACTGAGTTTGTGGCAGCACCCATACAGTTTTCTCGGGTACCACACTTTGCCACTGCCTGTAAAGCGATGGGACAAGCCCTAGAGGTCTCTAACCAAGCCCGACGCTACTTAACTTTTGGAGATCGCTCCAACCCTATTCCGCCTTTCTGGAGGGGTGTTCTGGAACCCGGGCAACGAGGTTCATTCCGAAGATCGCTGTTCAACTACTGAAACATCAGCGCGCTGGGCGACCCCCTTCGCCCTCCAGTTTCCAACTACTCCGCGTACGATACAACTCCACTCACCCGTGTGGGGAGGCTCGGGGTAGATGACTCTATGGGCGTAGATGTCAACGGCCCCAGATGGAAAGGGCCCACGCCTTCCCCCGCCACCTCCATGCCCCCTACCCATCCCCGTCCGGGGGCAGAGTCTGCTCGGTTGCCCGGCCACGGCCCAAATCCACCGGCAGTGGTACTCCAAACCCGCGATCAGCTCCCTCCGCCAGGAAAAAAAATAGTTCCCTCCAGCTTTCTTCTCCGAAGGCGCCGACAAGCGCCGTAGTGATCAGGGACGACAAAAGAAGACGCCTCTGCCAAATTACAAACATAATGAAAATGGGGGGCCTTTGTTGCTATGCTTTTTTCCTGCCAAACGGGTTGCACTGTATCCGTCCGCTTCAGCGGCGGCGTTTCCCTGCTGCCCGTACCCATGGCAATCCAGCGACGCAATTGCTCCGCTGTGATGGGCTGGGAAAGAGTTAGTCTGGCTGAAGAAAACTGTCGGCAGGTGTGTAGATGCGAAAAAGAAGCCCTGCATATATCTAGAAATCAAACTGATCGCGAATGGCTTTGGGAGATGGGAGAGCCCGTTCTAAAATCTTCCTGTGTCCCATTTTATAAAGGAGAATTGCTTAGCGAGGGACCACGGGCAAGCACGCCTAGAGCGCTCTTCTGGGATTAAATTGCAGCGGTGTCCCCAAATGCTCAGAACATAACTACTAGTTATAGTCAAATATTAACACAAGGCTACAATGGGAATTAGGGAAGCCTTCCTAAGTCATAAATTATGGAATGTTTGCTGTCACCTGAACTTTTAAACATGTTACCAAATGTTATTTAGATTCATAATTACACAATCTTATTAACTCTAATTTGTATTATTTTCAAATGTTTATTAATTTTAAAGAAAATTCATGTGAATATTGTGTATATGGAACAGCACAAAATTTAAAGTCATGGGGCTTTCTTTGTCCTTAGATTTGAAGTACTGTACAAAAACTGAAAATTTAAATGGCAGCCAAATGGTTTTGCTTCAGCATTCAAATTGTGCTAAAAGCTATTAAGGCTAAAAGGCAGAAATGACACAGAAATGTGTCATGAGGCAACAAATTCTTCCTGAAACAGTCATTCATTTTATGTCACAATATCATTTTAAAAAAGAATGTAAACTTTTTACTTTTTAATTCGATCTATTTTATTACCACTATGTGTTCATATGCTGGAACAGTAGATCAGGTTATCATACCTGATACTGAGAAATGCTCTGAAGGATACCCCAGTATTATTTGTGCTTTTCTGATCCATTCTTGAAAGTTCACAAAAGACCATGATGAGATTTGCTTATTACACCAGAAAACTGGATGTGCTGCTAACTGCTAACAAATAGTGAAAGGTGGCTGGGAGAGGAGGGGTGAGTGAGGAATGTTTTTCATCACAGATTGGGAGGATAATATTAAATTTCACATGGTATAGACAACCCAATTCTGTAATACCATGCTTTAACCATTTTTAACTTAATGGTTATGCCACCTTTCACACACAGACCATATCTAAATCAGTTCAACTAATTTTTTAAAAGGAATTTGAGGAATTCCTCCTGGATGAGGTTTTGTTCAGTTTTGTACCTTCTATAAAACTTGTTCTTCCTTATCATATTTTCCAACAAATAAATAAAATGAAAAAGTAAAAGGGACATAAAAGCATCTCACTAGACTGCAACTCTCTATTGAAGAATTGTCAATGAATTATACACCTATAACACATCATACTTTTTCTTTACAATTCTCTTCCTCGGGAATAAATAAATATTAAGGCTGTCATCTAACTGTCCAGGGTACTTTTTAAATCATATATCTGCTCTCTTAGCTTGCCTAATTCCTTTATCACCACATCTGG